GGGCTCAGGCAATCCACTCACCTCGGCCTCCCAAAGTGCTGGGATTACAGGCTGAGCCACCGAACCCGGCCTCTTTGCCCATTTTTAAAAACAGCTTTATTGAGATACTTCACATATGATACAGTTCACCCATTTAAAGTATACAGTTCAGTGGCTTCTTTTTTTTTTTCTGAGTCAGAGTCTCATTCTGTTACCCAGGCTGGAGTGCAGTGGCATGCTCACGGCCACCACAGCCTTGACCTGCTGAGCTCAGGCGATTCTTCCACCTCAACCTTCTGAGTAGCTAGAACTGCAGGTGTACACCACCACACCCGGCTACCTTTTTTTATTCCATTGTAGAGACGTGGTGAACCATAATGCCTGGCCAATTCAGTGGCTTTTAGAATATTCACAGAATTGTGTAGCCGTCACCACAGTCAGTTGTAGAACATTTTCATCACCTCAAGAAGAAATTCCATACTCTTCAGCTAGCACCTCCTTGTCCCTCCTCTCCTCTTTCCCTTCTTCTTCTACTCTACTCCACTTCCCAGTCCTGAGGAGCCTGATGGCTTCCCAGGTGACTCACATTTAATTTTGCTCATCTTTCTTTTTGTTTTTTATTTTATTTATTTATTTATTTTTTGAGTTGGAGTCTCTGTCACGCAGACTGGAGTGCAGTGGCACGCTCCTGGCCACCTCAGCCTCTACCTACTGGGGTCCGGTGATCCTTCCGTCTCAGCCTTCCAAGTAGCTGGAACTACAGGCGTGCGCTACCACGCCTGGCTAGTTTTTTTGATTTATTGTAGAGATGAGGTCTCGCCAAGTTGCCCAGGTGGGTCTCGAACCCGTGGGTTCAGGCAGTTCACTCACCTTGGCCTCCCAAAGCGCAGGATTACAGGCTGAGCCACTGAGCCCGGCCTCATCTCTCTTTTTAATGCACTGTTTCTGTAAGTTTCCTCCTTGATGATTTGCGGCAATTCATGGTCTGCTGCTCCTACCCATTAGCATGAATATGGAGCATTGAGCAAAGTCTATGACATACAGTTCAAGGCCGGTGGTAATTTTGGCAGTGCGCAGTGCTTGTTGGAGTCTTAGATAACCAGATGTTTTATGTTCTATATGGTGGAATGTTGTTCCACATCACACAAGTGTAACACTCCTTAATGATCTTTCTTGACACAGATATGTCTTGATTGACACTCCTGGACAGATTGAGGTATTCACCTGGTCAGCTTCTGGGACAATCATCACTGAGGCCCTGGTGAGTATTCTAGGACTTGTTACTAAGAGTAGCTTGATGGCTAGACTGGGTTACCATTTTTTATTGGCCAGGACTTTATATGGGAGGCTCTTAGAGAAGCCCTCTACACCCTGCCTGCAGTGTTTTTTTGTAAGAGTTACAGTCTCAGAGGCTCAACCTGTAATCCCAGCACTTTGGGATGCTGAAGCAAGTGGATTGCCTGAGCTTGCGGGTTCAATATCAGCCCAGGCAACTTGGCAAGACCTTGTCTCTACACTAAATCAAAAATTATCCAGACATAGTAGTGCTCACCTGTAGGTCTGGCTACTTGGAAGGCTGAGGCGGAAGGATCGCCAGAGCCCAGCAGGTCAAGGCTGGGGTGGCCATGAGTGTGCCACTGCACTCCAGCTGGGTCAACGGAGTGAGACTCTAACACCCCCAACCCCCCAAAAAATGTTGGGGACAGCTCATGAGCCCTCTGACCACGGTTTTGATCATTTTGTGTCTTTAGGCTTCCTCACTTCCCACAGTTGTCATCTATGTTATGGACACATCGCGAAGTACGAACCCAGTGACCTTCATGTCCAATATGCTGTACGCCTGCAGGTAATTGGCTAGTGATGGGCATGGCAGAAGGCCACCGTCTTTTCTTCCCCTTTGCTTTGGAGCCCTGGATGCTTACCCCAGATTTGTGTGCTACTTGCTTGAGTGACTGTGAGTTGGGGAAAAGGTCAGAGGAGGGAGGAGGCATGTCATCTTCCTCTCTTGACTGTTGCAGAAATAGGTGGTGTATGGATGTGAACCTTCTAGTGGTTGCTTCCGGTTGAGTGAAACCCAAGTTTAAATAGAATAGAGCTCTCTAGTCTAAATGCTCCTCTTGTGTGTTACGATAGGTGGTGTAAAATTGTGACATGAGGAGATACTATGAATAAAAGCATTTATGCAAAATTATAAAATGCACAGGTTTGCCCCAGTTGTGGTGCCATTAGGGGAAGAAGGACATGCTTCACTGGACTGTGTTAGTGAATTAAGACTGAGGAGCAAGGCAGATCATTATTAAAGCTGTGAAAATTTAACTTTGGGGCACGTAAAACCATCGCCAGCATTTGTGTCTTCTGCTATGATGAGGCATGTCCCTTCTTGTTAGATGCAGAAAATAATGGTCCAAATAGAAAGTGACAGTTGACAGCATTATTTCATTTTTATATTAATTGTTAAGAGACAATTATTTGATTATCTTGATTATGGTAATCATTTCACTGTGTATACATATGGTTGGCCCTTGAAGAATGAGTGTTATGGGTGTCAACTACTAATATCCTACTGCTTACCAGAAACCTTTCTGATACATAAACAGTTGGTTCACACATTTTGTATGTTATATGTGTATATGAGGGGACTCAAAAAGAACCGGAATTATGTTTTGGAGGGCGGACCCCTTGCAATACAGGCTTCCCCCACTAGGTAGGTGTAGGAATCCATTAGCATCAATGTACAGCTATTATTGTTGTGAGAGACGGTATTCAGCTTCAGTGAATTTTTTTTTGGAGATTTTTTCAGTGCATTTGCCCACTTCTTGATGGGTGATTTACGAATGCATCTGCTCGCACAGTGCTGAGCGTTCACCAGTTTTTGACCCAAAATAGCATGACCCCATGCCCCACCCTCCCTATTCACTTGATCTCACCCAGAGTGACTTTTATTTTGTTTCCCTGGCTGAAAAAGTCCTCAGAGGAAAATGTTTTGCTGACATGGAAGAGTGAAACAAAAAGCAACAGAGGCAGTTAAAAGACACGAAAATTGATGAATTCAAAAAATGTTTTTGAACAGTGGAAAAAGCATTTTGATAGGTGTATTAAATGGACAGGACTTTGAAGGTGACTAAAGTTTAGACATATAAAAATTAGTATGCAATTTTTTATAAATTCTGGGGTTTTTTGCATCCCCACTTATAAACTATAGTCTTCTAGTAAAGTAAGCTAGAGAATAGGCAATTTTATTAGGAAAATCAAAAGGAAGGGAAAATGTGTCGCTTTTCATCGCGTGCAGGTGGATCATCATCAAGCTCTTCATCTTTGCTGTCTTCATGTTGAGTGGGGCTGAGGAGGAGGTAGCGGTAGCAGAGGTTGAGTCAAGTCTGCATACAAGTGGACTATGCTGGCCCAGCGTGGTGGCTCAACCTGTCATCCCAGCACTTCGGGAGGCTGAGGTCAGAGGATTGCCTGGGCCCGCGGGTTCGAGACCAGCCTGGGCAACCTGGCGAGACCTCATCTCTACAATAAATCAAAATATTATTGGGGCATGGTGGCATGTGCATGTAGTTCCAGCTACTTGGAAGGCTGAGGTGGAAGGATCGCCTGAGCTTAGCATGTCGAGGCTGCGGTGGCCAGGAGTATGCCACTGCCCTCTAGCCTAGGTGACAGAGTGAGGCTCTGACTCAAAAAAAAAAGGAAGTGAACCGAGCATTTTGAACCAACTTGTTCAAGTATCTACTGTGTATCAAAAAAATCACTTTGTACAACTTAAGCATATACAATTTTCATTTGTCAATTATACTTCAGTAAAGCTGCGGAAAAAGTTATCAATTTTTTTCAATCTGTAGAATAACATTTAAAAATGTTCTCCACCGGCTTTGTTGAGGCATAATTGACAAATAAACATTGTTTATATTTACATGGCATTTGTAAGAAATAAAGGAGATAATACATATAATAGTGATTAGCATAGTGCCCGGACTACACAGGTTGTACATTCCAGATCTGAAAATTTGAAATCCAAAATGCTCCAAAACCTGAAACTTTGTACACTGACGTGTACGCTTAAAGGAAATGCTTATTGGAACATTTTAGGGTTTTGGATTTGGGATATTTAGCCAATAGGTGTTTGCAACCAGTCCAAAATCTGAGAAAATCTGAAATCTGAAACACTTCTGGTCCCAAGTATTTATCATAAGGAATTCTCAGTCTGTGATAGATATTCAATAAATCTCAGTTTCCTCCCCTGAAAACAAAGAAATTATTTGGTACTATTTGATCACTGCCAGAGTGTTAATTAATCCAAGTGAGAGAGAGAGAGAAAGAGAGAGAGTAATGGTGTGTGTGTGTGTGTGTGTGTGTGTGTGTGTGTGTGTGTTGCTTCTTAGAGGTGGTTTTTCCCTCTTGGGAAAGGAGAGTGTCTTGTAGAAAGGGGTAATGGTATTTTAGATTCAGAACCCTTCCTTCTCTTACTTCAACCCAGCAGACTGACACTGGGCAAGCAAGACCTTAAGTGCTTGTACTAATGTCTCCATGTTTGATTTTCAGCATTTTGTACAAAACCAAGCTGCCTTTCATTGTGGTCATGAATAAAGTAAGTAGACCCTTCCTGTTTTGATTCGCATTTTTCACCTGAACCTTGTGGTTGTGTGAAGGCTGGGGTGGTTAAGGAGGAATATCTGACATGCTAGAGAGCAGGTTCAAGCTTTACTGAAATAAAGGCACTTGTGGAAAATGGACTCAATCAAATGGAGTTTGATTGCTAACTCTCATCCACAATTATTTTAGGCTAGCTAGAGTAGCCCCACAACCATCGTGAGTAGGTTATCCCTCAGAGTCAGGACTGTGTAGATAGGGGAAGGACAACTGGTCTGTTGGAAGTGGCAGTTAAGGAAAAAAAAAAAGATTGGGCTCGGTGGCTCAGCCTGTAATCCCAGCATTTTGGGACGCCGAGGTGAGTGGATTGCCTGATCCTGCGGGTTTGAGACCCATACCGACAACTTGGTGAGACCATAACCTCTACAACATGGCAGCATAGTTCCAGCTACTTGGAAGGCTAAAGCAGAAGGATCACCAGACCCCAGCAGGTTGAGGCTGCAGTAGCCGGGAGTGAGCCACTGCACTCCAGTCTGGCCAACAGAGTGAGACTCTAACTCAAAAAAAAAAAAAAAAGAAAAGAACAAGCAAGGCCAGGCTCTGTGGCTCAGCCTGTAAACCCAGCACTTTGGGAGGCTGAGGTGAGTAGATTGCCTAAGCCTGTGGGTTTGAGACCAGCCCGGGCAACTTGGCGAGACCTTGTCTCTACAGTAAATAAAAAATGAGCCAGGGATGGTAGCATGCACCTGTAGTTCCGGCTACTTGGAACACTAAGGCATAAGGCTTGTCAGACCCCAGCCCGTCAACACTCGGGTGGCCGTGAGCATGCTACTGCACTCCAGCCTGTACGATGAGTGAGACTCCAACTCAAAGAAAAAAACAAAAACAAAACTTCCCTGATGTTGGTTGATGACTAGAATACAAGAGACGACTTGACTTCGCAGCCTGGCATGTGCTGGCATTCACATGACCCTGGGTACTTGGCAATGGATTGTGAAGTGTCTGCTTCAACCAAGGAACGCACGTCTTCATTTGATGATGTACAACACCCAGCAGTCTTGATGCTTGTGCTTTGCTGCAATGGAGGAGGAAATGGGGGAAGCAGAGAAAGAAAATAGATGGATGATGGGCTCTTTGCTGTCACCACTTAATTGCAAATGTAAATTTTGCCTTTGTTTAGTGTCTAACCTCATCTCTGGTGCTGATTGTTTTGACTTCTCTCTGGTGCAGACTGACATCATTGATCACAGCTTTGCAGTGGAATGGATGCAGGATTTTGAGGCTTTCCAGGATACCTTGAATCAAGAGACTTCATACGTCAGTAACCTGACTCGTTCAATGAGCCTGGTTCTGGATGAATTTTACAGCACGCTCAGGGTAAACTTTCTTCCCTGCTCTCACTGACAGCCTCTGCAGATAACCTCTTAACCTACAGGTCTAGCTTTGCACCTAGCTCAGAAAAGTAACTTCTGAGCAGTAATTTTTAAAGCATTGCTTATTAAAAACTGATGTGACCAGGCATGGAGGCTCATGCTTGTAGTCCCAGCACTTTGGGAGGTGGAGCCAGAGGATTGCCTGAGCCCAGGCATTTGAGACCAGCTTGAGCAACCTAATGTCTACTATAAAGCAAAAAATTAGCCAGGCATGGTTGCGTGCCTGTAGTTCCAGCTACTTGGAAGGCTGAGGCAGAAGGATCACCTGAGCCCAGCAAGTTGAGGCTGTGGTCACTGTGAGTGGCCACTGCATTCCAGCCTGGGTGAAAGATTGAGACTCTGACTCAAATCCCCCCCCGAAACCCCAGGTGTTTACAAGAAAAATAAGATAGGGACCCTGCCTTCAAAGTGTTTATGGTCTAGTTAGGAGAGAAGGCCACACACAGGGTTGAAACATGAAATATTGTGGAAATCACCCTGAGAAAGCTTGGAAATTGGACCTGGTGGTTGTGATGGGGCAGATCAAAATGGGGGATTTTGGGGAGTAGCATTAGAGGTATGCTTTGAAGAAAGGCCCAGATTTATGTCAGCAAAAGTGTGGGTAGGTTGCTGAGAGCATGTTAGCTGCTCAAGCAAAGGTGTCAGGTTAAACAGAAGGTGGTTTGGTTTAGGGAATAGGTGATGAGTCAGCTCCTACTTTAAGGATCTAAACCTCTTTTATGATGACTTTATGACATTTGAACAAAATAATGTACACCATTAAAAACACACAGGCGGGCAACCCCTTTGGGTCCCCTCCTGCTGTGGAAGCCTTTCTATCCTCTCAGTAAATCCTGCTTTCTCAAAAAGCAAAACCAAAAAAACAGGCATTTCCTCAGTGGCCTTGACAACGCTTTTTGGCAGGTGGTAGGTGTGTCTGCTGTCGTGGGCACCGGCTTGGAGGAGCTCTTTGTGCAGGTCACCAGTGCTGCTGAGGAATACGAACGGTGAGGATGGAGGGCGTTTCTGGCGGGGACTCTCTAGGCGCCTGCGTTCTGTTGGTCTTGCACTTGTGGACCGGGTCTGACCTTGCTTGGGGCAACAAAGCTAACCTTTTGAAAAGGATGGAAGTACAGCTCTTCACTGTGTTGAGTGACTAAGAGCAGGGGTCCTGAGGCTTTTCCTGAGAAGAGCCAGGTTGCAAAGGCTGAAGCTCTGGGCCTTGGAGCTCAGGTGCAGCTGCTCACCTCACTGTGGGACAACATGTCTGTAGGCAATTTGCACGCGAACTGCATGACTCAGTCGTTGGGAGTATTATTTAAGAAAATCTGTGAACAGGACTTAGCACAATTGCTGACCTGTAGTAAGCACGTTTTGTAGGAAATGGGGTTATTCCTCTTGTCATTGTCAGAACTAGAATTCCTTCACCTGAAGGAAAGTGGGGCCCAAGCACCTGCTGCTGACCGTTAGAGCTCCCGTAGCTACAGTGTGCGGGATCCTGACAACCACATTTTGTTTTCAGACACATTGTTTGGATTTGGATTCATCAGACAAGGTTGTTATCAAAGACTCTTTTCTGTATCCTTCCACTATTGTGAGGTGAACCACATCATTACACATTGCACTTCGTGAGCGCACCAGGCGTGTACTAGGCACTTTAATGATGACACGTGCATCAGTCCTAGTCTCTCCAGTGCCCCTTTTTCCAACCCAGAAGTCTGGATTTTGTCCTTTTCCTGGTTTGAGGGTGGGGACAGGCACCTGGCTCTTCATAGGGGTGATTCTCCCAGTGACTGATTAGGATTTGTTACATCTGATGCTTAGTGAAGTCAGATCTTTTATTATTGTGAAAGTCTTAGGAAAATCGAAGTGATGGGGGTGGGGGAGTGGGCAGGACAGATGACTGAGCAGAGGAACTGGAAGGTGTTTCTTGTTCCAGGGAGTATCGTCCTGAATATGAACGTCTGAAGAAATCACTGGTAAGAAAGAAGATGTTTGTATATTTTCGGGCCATTAAAAAAAAATTCTATCCTGATGATATAAATGCTTTTGTTTTGGCTATTAATGTACCTATTTTTTTTTTTTTAAGTCAGAGTCTCACTCTGTCACCCAGGCTGGAGTGCAGTGGCACACTCATGGCCACTGCAGCCTCGACCTGCTGGGCTCAGGCCATCCTTCTGCCTCAGCCTTCCAAGTAGCTGGAGCCCCAGGCGTGTGGCACCAAGCCCGGCTAATTTTTCTTGGTTTATGGTAGAGATGAGGTCTCGCCCAGTTGCCCAGGTTGGTCTTGCTCTCCTGGGCTCCGGCAGTCCTCTTGGCTCCGCCTCCCAAAGTACTGGGATGACAGGCATGAGCCACTGTGCCCAACCACAACTAGCTTTTACATTGCCCTTGGAACATGGGAAGAAATGGGGATAAGGACTCAGCATATATGACAGGAAAAATCTGATTTAAAAAATTTTTTTGAGTGGGGGTCTCACTCCATTGCCCAGCCTGGAGTGCAGTGGCATGCTCACGGCCACCCCAGTGTTGAAATGCTGGGCTCTGGCGATCCTTCCGCCTCTGCCTTCCAAGTAGCTGGAACTACAGGCGCATGCTACCACGCCCGGCTAATTTTTGACTTATTGTAGAGACAAGATCTCACCAAATTGCCCAGGCTGGTCTCGAACCCGCGAACTCAGGCACTCCCCTTGCCTCGGCCTCCCAAAGTGCTGGGATTACAGACTGAGCTACCAAGCCTGTAAATCAAATTTACAAATCTGATTTTTAAAAATTAAAATGGAAAGACAAGAATTTTGGAGCTTTTCTGTATCCAGATAGCATATACACAAATTTACTAATTTTTTATGTTTATTTTTATTTTTTGAGTTGACATCTCACTCTGTTGCCCAGGCTGGAGTGCAAGTGGCACAATGACAACTCACCACAGCCTTGACCTCCCAGGCTCAGGTGATCATCCTGCCTCAACGTCCTGAGTAGGTGGGATTGCTAGAATGTGCCACTATACCTTGCTAATGCTTTATTTTTTGTAGAGATGAGGTTTTGCTATGTTGCCCAGGCTGGTCTTGAACTCTGGGGCTCAAGCAATCTTCCTGCCTTGGCTCCCAACTGTGCTGGCATTATAGGAGTGAGCTAATCTTACAAATTTAAATTGACAAGTATTTAAAAGATACACTTAAATTTTATAAGCCAGTTATTCCTCCATAAAACTGGAAGGCTACTTGAGGGGTCTTTTGATATATTTTTGTGTCCGGTGTCTGAATCCTCTAACTTAGTCTCAGAGCCCTCCAGTCTGAATCTGCACTATAGCTGGGCTTACCTCTCAGTGTTTCTGTCCCCACTTCGGCCATCCTTGTTTTTTTTTTGAGTCAGTCTCACTCTGTTGCTCAGGCTGGATGGAGTGCAGTGGCACGCTCATGGCCACCGCAGCCTCGACCTGCTGGGCTCAGATGATCCTTCTGCCTCAGCCTTCCAATTAGCGGGAACCACAGGCATGCACCAAAACACCTAATTTTTTTTTTCATTTCTTGTAGAGATGAGGTCTTGCCAGATTACCCTTGCTGGTATCAAACCCATCGGCTCAGGCAATTCTCTCACCTTGGCCTCCCAAAGTGCTGGGATTATAGGCGTGACCCGACCTTTGCCCCCATATTTTAAGTAGCCTCTAGTATTGATGGCTCTTCATCTCCGCTTAGAAGTCTGGCATCTAGTTTTAGTATGATGACATTTTTCTCTGTATGTATAGGCCAGTGCACAGAGCCAGCAGCAGAAGGAACAGCTGGACCGCCTTCGCAAGGATATGGGCTCGGTGTCCTTGGATGCAGGGACTGCCAAAGGTATTGGAGGCTTTCTGAGAACCCTAAAAAGAACCCTTGCTTCTACTCAGCAGGAAGATACTTAGATTTGAGAGAAAGGGACAAGGATAGAGGAAGTGTGTGTATGTGCATGCTCAAAAATAAAAACACATAGATAGACAAACACCTACGTGGACACACACGTCTTCAAAAATAGATGATTTGGAAAGACAGACAACTGAAAATTGTATACAGTTGTACCACTGTGGGTTCCTTTTTCAGGAAGGTTTTGCTTTACTTTGGCAAGATACTTGAGGTCTACTCTTTTTCTTTTTAAACTCTTTTTAGCCCCCCCCAAATTTTTTTACAGTTTGCTCTAATTTAAGATTTATAGAAAAGTTACATGAATAATACAGATAATTGCATAGTTCTTCATTCAGATCCCTAGAATGTTAATATTCGTCCACATATATGTTATTCTTTCCTATCTGGATGACTTCATTTTTTATATAAGTATGCACTTTTTGTAGAATCACTTAAGAGTAAGTTGCAGTTGTCATGCTTGTATACCCCCAGTACGTCCGTGTCTGTTTCCTAAACACAAGGATATTGTTTTATACAACCTCAGTCAGGAGGTTGAGACCAGGAGGTTGCCACCAACACAGGACTCTTGTCTAATATGTAGACTGCTCAGATGTGGCCTGTTGCCATTTCAGCAGGAGACGGTCCGGGATGTGTGTTGCATTTCATTCTCATGCGCTTAGGCTCCTTGGTCTTTGTATTTAATGATTGGCTTTTTAAAGCCTGTAGGACAGAATAAGCAGAACATCTTTCAGTTTAGGCTTGTCTGATGTTTCCTCCTGATTTGGTTCACCTTTGGCAGAACTTAACAGAAGTGGTGTTTTTTCAGTGCATTACCTCGGGAGGCACATGATATTGATTGTTCCATTACTTGTGATTTGATGTACAAAATGAATTACTTTGATTACTTATATAAAGTAGTTTCTGCCAGGTTATCTCATCACAAAGAATTACTCTTTTTTTTTTTTTTAAACTGAGTCGGAGTCTTACTCTGTTGCCCAGGCCGAAGTGCAGTGGCATGCTCATGGCCACCGTAGCCTTGACCTGGGCTCAGGAGATTCTTCCACCTCAGCCTTCCAAGTAGCTGGAACTACAGGTACGCGCTACCATGCTCACCTAATTTTTTGATTTATTGTAGAGACGGGGTTTCACCAAGTTGTCAGGCTGGTCTTGAACCCATGGGCTCAGGCAATCCTCTCACCTTGTCCTCCCAAAGTGCTGGGATTACAGATGTGAGCCACCATGCCCAGCTCTTTTTACTTTTTTTTATGAGTCAGGGACTTACACCATTGTCCAGGTTGGGTGCAGTGGCATGATTTTGGCTTACTGCAGCCTTATCCTCCCCTGCTCAGGTGATCCTTCCACCTCAGCCTCCCAAGTAGCTGGGTCTACAAGTACACAGCACTGTGCCCAGTTATTTATTTTTTGTAGGAACGAAGTCTGTCTATATTGCGTGTGCTCATCTCGAACTCCTGGGTATCCCAAAGTACTAGGATTACAGGCATGAGCCACCCTGCCCAGCCTAAGAATTACTATTTTAAACAATTATTTTTCCCTTTGTAATAAGAATTTTATGGCATGATGCTTTGAGACTATAAATATCCTTTTAGTTTTCAAATGTTCACCTATTGGTTTTAACGGCTATTGATATAGTGGGGATATTTTCCATTTTTCTATTATATACTTATATGTTACAATTTTTTTTCTTGTTTGTCAGTTGTCCTTTGATTTTGCTCATGGTATTACTTTCCCAAGAAAAGGTTTTAATTTTGTCTTGATGTAGTCAAATTGATCTATTTAATTGCATCTGGATTTTAAGTCATAGTTAGAAAGCCTTTACTTCAGTTAAAGAGCAGTTCACCCATCTTTTATTATAGTATTTGTATGGGCTTATTTTCTAAACTTAGATCCCTGATATATTTAGAGTTTATTCCTGGGTGTGGTAGAGGTTAGATCTGTGTTACCTTTTTCTTTTGTTTTTGAGTTGGGGTCTCACTCCGTTGCCCAGACTGGAGTGCAGTGGCACACTCATGGCCAACCTAGCGTCGACCTGCTGGGCTCCGGCGATCCTTCCACCTCAGCCTTCCAAGTAGCCAGAACTACAGGTGTGCGCTACCACACCCGGCTGATTTTTTTATCTATTGTAGAGACGAGATCTCACCAAGTTGCCTGGGCTGGTCTTGAACACCCGGGCTCAGGCAAACCACTTGCCTTGGCCTCCCAAAGTACTGGGCTTACAGGCTGAGCCACTGAGCACAGCCAGTGTCATTATTTTTGTCATGCCTACTTGAATCTTTGAGTTTAAAGCTTTCCTCATATGAGTTTTGCATGTTTCTTTCTTTTTTTTTTTTTTTTTTTTGTGAGTTGGAATCTCTGTTGCCCAGTCGAGTGCAGTGGCACTCACGGCCACCACAGCCTTGACCTTGGCTCAGGTGATCCTTCTGCCTCAGCCTTCCAAGTAGCTGGAACTACAGGCACACGGCACCACGCCTGGCTAATTTTTTGAATTGTTGTAGAGATGAGATCTCACCAAGTTGCCCAGGCAAGTTTTGAACCCATGGGCTCAGGCAATCCTTTCACCTCGGCCTCCCAAAGTGCTGGGATTATAGACGTGAACCACCGTACCCAGCCTTGCATATTGCTTTAAAATTTTTTTATTTTAGCCAACTTTATTGGCCGAGAATTTTTGCATATATCTTGTTAAATTTCTTCCAAGTATTTTATCTTTTTTATTATTAAATTTCTGAACTACAGCCGGGCTCGGTGGCTCAGCCTGTAATCCCGTGCCTTTGGGAGGCTGAGGTGAGTGGATTGCCTGAGCCCGCGGGTTTGAGCCCTGCCTGGGCAGGTGAGACCTCATCTCTACAATAAAATAAAAAAATTAGCCGGGCATGGTAGCGCGCGCCTGTAATTCTGGCTACTCGGAAGGTTGAGGCGGAAGGATCGCCAGAGCCCAGCAGGTCGAGGCTGCAGTGGCCGGGAGATGCCACTGCACTCCAGTCTGGGCAACAGAGTGAGACTCCAACTCAAAAAAAAAAAAATTTCTGAACCACTACATCTTCTGTTTATGTTTGTATATATGAAGGCTTCTGATTTCTATATATTAGTTTTTTTATTCTGCTACTTTACTGAATTTTTAGAAAGTTCTTGAAGTGAGTTGTATCATTGACCCCTTGGGAGTTTTTAGGCAAGAGCTTGTATTTGAATGGACAACCCCCACCCACATATGCTGTATGGACTGTCTGCAGGATGATTAGTGTGAGTCTGTCGCAGCATAGTGGAATTGTGCAACCAAATTGGATGCACTTTTAAGAAATAGGATGCTCTGTTTCATTTATGTGTTTATTGTGGTAATTGAACGTACTGTAATTTTTCTCCTCCTTGGCAACAGTCGCATTCTCTCTTCTGGGGGTCTTCCTTAGAGGAGTGAGTTTCCCTCCACCAGTGCTTCTGCTGTGTCTGGTAGAGAACAGCATAGCTGGAAACTGACTTGGCTTGCCAGTTAGGTGGCTCCCCTGTGCCTTTCGTGCTGTGCACCACAGCTGTGTGCCTGTCTGTGTGCTGCGCCCTTCAGAGTCACTCGGGAACAGGTGAAGCGGCCAGGGTTCCCTCTGCTGTGAAGGGCTTCCCATCCTCAGATAACCTGCTGAAGGCCAGGGAGTTCACGCCGCTTGCGGGAAGCCACAGAGTAGTTTGACACTCCTTGCTTGGGCAGAGTGGAGCAGTCCTGTCAGCACTTCCTGTCGCCATCCTCTTGCAGGGCCTCGGGCTCCTTGAGGTTTGTGCCCTTGTGTTGCTGCCTCTG